ACCAGTGTACATTTCTCTTATTTCATGTTCAGCTATATTTTCTGAGAAAACACCAAAATCTATCTCTAAAATATTTTCTATTTCTCATTATTTTTGGTCCCATTAACGAGATATTCTCCAGAAGCTAAATAAACACTCAGTTTGTATAACTTGCTACTGACATACATCATAAACATATGGAGCTTGCAGGAGAGGCCACTACAGATCCAGACCCTTGTACTGTGAGCAGACTGCTGAGGGGAAGGAGGGGCACAGAAAGTCATTGGGAAGCATGGGCATGCTCTCCACCTCCCAAAGAGAGGGTCTGGATCATTCCCATCTTCTTTACAGCAGTGATGCTCAGATTCAGTCTAGTTACTTTGTCAGTGACAGCATTTAATTTAATTATCTAAACAAGTGAGTTACAAAAGTCACTAACATACTACCAAGAAGAAACATGTTAAAAGAAAATATTAAGACTCAGTTTGAGTTGCTGATATATTTGCCTTCTGTACATGCTAACTGCAGAACAGAACTTATTAAATAATAAAAGAGCCAAACAACACAACAGACGCACACACAGAGGCTTTGAGGAAGCACATGCACATGCAGAACTCTGGTATCCCCACATCGATATTATGATATGCCAAAACCTGTAACAGAGCTTTAGATATGAAATATCCAGTGAAAGGAACCTGCTAACACAAGCCTCTACTTTTCCACTGACATCATATAAGAACTATTTAAAGAACTATTGAAGAATGTATTTCTGTGTGAGGAACGAAGACTTGCTGTTTTTTCTAGTTTTGATAGGTGCACAGTATCTTTTCTTTCTCTTAAATGTTCTCAGATCAAAAAATCTGCTACCACTGATGAATACTTTCTGGGCAAATCCAAAGTATAATTTATAGTGCACATTCCTGATGAAGACTGGTTTTGATTTGCTAAAGTACAGTCAAGCATTTTGGGTACATTGCTGCGAATAACAGTTTTATTAACCTGCATTTGAGGTAACTAATGTCATTTATTAATGGAGGAAAGAGAAGATTTAGAATGTTAGAAGGTTTGCTGGAATTAGTGTACTTCAGAAAGAAGAGACAGTAAAAAAGCAGCTTGTCATATTATGAAGCAGACTGTTCTACTGTTGAACGCTATTACCAAAACGGCTTATAAATTACATGGCTGTGTTAAGTTACAGTAGAAAAATGTTAACAGAATTTGTTTAGTGTAATCTTTGATCTCATATCTCACTTTTGATTTTACCATTCTTCAGAGAGAATCCTTTTATTGAGGAATTACTGTCACACACAAGGTTGACCATAAATGTTTCTGGTAAAATCTCTATTCTTCAGCACGTTAGCAATTTTGTGCTAGCCACATCTTTTACAGGAAAATGAATATAAAACATCCTGAAGAGCTTTTAGAAATGTGAATTGGTAGGTTGAAAATTTAACTTTTTCTCAACAAAAAGGACAAATTCACATTGTGGAAGGTACCATTCCATACATCTACAAGAGGGAGCGGGATAAAGAATATTGAGGGACTTCATATCTGGGAGTAAGGACAAAAGTTTATTGGATTATAGTTTCCAAGGTTTTGTTTTAGCTGGTTCATGCATTTTAAATCACATTGGAGGCTGCTCAGGAGTGCTAGAAATAGTCCTGATTGTACTGAAGTCGATTGTACAAGATACTTCTATTCATCCTAAGAGGTCATAATTGCTGATATGGGTAAGATAATAATTTATGCTGCATTTGTAGCTACCATAAAGAAACAAACAAGCAAAACTAACACAGAAACCTACAGTGAAATGTGTCAGTTTTACAAAGTTCTCAAAAGTAATGTACATCTAAATTGTGGTCAAAAGCAAGGAATATTTCTTAAGAAAACAAATGAAGACTTCCTAGTATGAGGAAAACAATGCATTGTAAGGCTATTCTTTAAGTGTTCAGAAGATTTCAAGCATGCAAGGTCTCTTGCTGAGGCACAGTCTTACCAGATGCAATGTCCTGGATTGAGATTTTCCAGACTCACAGAAAACACTGTTCCTGGTCAACATTTTATGTAATCAATATCCAACATCTGATCAAAAATTTTCCTGCTATCAACACTCTTAATTACTCTTTTCCCCTCTAGAAGGTGCCAAATCAGGAGATGATTTATTGAAAGACCTGTGATATATTTTCTCATCAGATGATGTTAGTCATACTGCGGGTTCCTTTTTCAATATTAACACGGAGTTGCTGATTCTGCTGATAATTATTCTTTTATATATTTAACTAAACATTAGAAGATCAATAAACACATATTTGTTCTTGTAGTGGCATCTCACATTGGCATAGATAACCCTCTTGTAAGTGAAGTGAGGTGACCGAGTCAAATGCAGCAGATAGAAACACATTCTCCTTTGCATTTATAAGCACTGTTTTCTGACAATCCCATCCCTTTTGTCCATGACAACTTTGGTTAAAACCTCCATTTTATTAATAAATGTTGAGGTAAATTGAGTAATTAATGGTTCTTCCTGCCTGGTTATTGAAATGATTGATTTAGAAAATAAGCCTTGGTTGAAAGACATAAGGTATTTGGCAGTACTTGAATTCAAATGTCATTGTTCCTCCACTAGCCTAAGTATTTCCTTTGCCTAAGAATACAGAAACTACTCTTTTTTTTTTTTTTTTTTCTTTTTTTTTGTCACAGAAAAATTATTCAGTTAGAGCAGTTAGAAATAAAACTTTATTACCTTCCTTTCACTACATGCCCCTGCAGATTAAGAACTACCATTGTATCTTGTATTTAGCTGTTTTATCCTCAAAAAGGCTAAGAAAAATCTAGTAGATTACCAGAGTTGAGATGTTTGAAAGAGCTAGAAATACTGTTCTGTTATCACAGCA